GGGGAGGCACTTTTCCTCTGCCCGGCAGCTCTGCGGGACCCCAGTCGGAGCCGGCCCGAGGAGGAGGAGGATCCTAGGACCCAGGTGAGCGAGCCCCGGGAATGCTGCTGCGCATGTGCGGGAGTTGCCTCACCCCGTTCGTATCTAGGGATCCGACGTAAGTCGGATCCACGTAAGTCGGGGACTGCCTGTATGCTTTTATCAAGAGATCCTGGGGTGGGCTCCTTATTTTGGGACATTTAAAAGTAGGGAGCATAAACAGGGCAACCTGTGCCAAGGACAACAATCCTGTACTGAGAGGATTGAAAGACATGGCACGAAAGACATAATGCAGTGGGCTGAGGAGAGAGGGTTGTCTTTTCCATCTCTAATGTCTAATGTCTATGTTTCCATCTCTAATGTCCAATGTCCATCAAGCATCAATGGAAGTTCTAAGCATTCAACAGCTGCCAAAGTGGCATTCAGCAGCTAGTCAATGTCTATGATCAAATAATGTGCTAAAATGTGAATGTAAGCTTTGGGGGGAAATGCATGACTTTGGAAGGAAATGCAATTACTTCAAGTAGATTTTTTGTAGTTCTCCTAAATTAGAGCACGTCATGTCTAATGTCCCATGCTACCACTAGTACTGTACTAAAGAAGTACTGTCTTACTTTTGTACACCAGACTGGCAGGTAAAGGAGTAGCATGATGCCCTGTACCAGTTGTGGAAAGCACTTCAGTCTCATGTCCTATAAGTAAGTTCTCCATAATGGAATGGGCATACTTGATGGAACCAAGCCAGATATAGGTGTCCACTTTTGCATGTACGTTCCAGTCCGGCAGGCGTTTTCCTGGTAACTGAAGAAACATGTGTCACCCACAAATGCAAAGTAAGAGAGCAAGCTGAATGTAATTTATTATTTGGGCACTGCTGAACAGAGGAGCATCCACTCGTTTGGTAAATGGCATGCAACTTACTCACAGAACCAAAGAAATGTAGGATGGGAAGGAAACGTGATAGGCATTGAGGCAGGACTAAGTATTATCCAGACTATTCCTGACAGGTGTTTGTTCAAACCTATTCTTAAAAACTTCTAGTGATGGAGATTCCACAACTTCCCTAGATAATTTGTTCCAGTGCTTAACTACCCTTATCATGATATTTTTCCTAATATCTAACCTAAATCTCCTTTGTTGCAATTCAGACCCCTTATTTTTTGACCTGTCCTGAGTGGATAAGGAGAACAATAGATGACCGTCCTCTTTATAACAACCTTTTATGTATTTGAAGACTCATATTATGTGCCCTCACCCCAGTCTTCTCTTCTCCAGACTTAACAAACCCAGTTTTTTTTGTTTTTCCTAGTAGGTCATGTTTTCTAGACCTTTAATCATCTTTGTTGCTCTTCTCTGGATTATCTTATGTTTGTTCACATCTTTTTCAAAGCATGTGGCCCAGCAATCTGTATTTGTATAATTGATTCCCTTCCTAAGTTTAATACTCATTCTTATTGAACTTCATCCTATTTCTTTCAGACCATTTCTCCAATTGGCCAAGATCATTTTGAATGTTAATCCTGTCATCTAAAGTGCATGCAACCCCTCACAGCTTGATATTGTCACACATTTTGTAAGTGTACTCTCTATGTCATTATTTATGAATTTATTAAAGTATTGAACAGAATAAGACTTATGACAGATCTATGGGGCATCCCATTCAATATGTCCTTCCAGCTGGACTGTGAACTATTGAGGACTATTCTCGGAGTATGTTTTCCAAGCAGTTGTGTATCCTCTTTATAGTAGGCTCGTCTAGGCTATATTTCTCTAGTTTTTTTTTATGATAAGGTCATGTGAGACAGTATCCAAAAGCCTTAATAAGGTCAAGATATATCACATCTACTTCTTTCCCCTATCTATAAAGCTTGTTACCTTGTCAACAAAGGCTATGGTTTGACATGATCAATCCTTGACAAATTCATGTTGCTACTTATCATCTTATCTTCTAAGTGCTTACAAATTGTTTGTTTGTTTATTTGCTCCATTATATTTCTAGGTACTGAAGTTAAACTTATTGGTCTATAATTCCCTGGGTTGTCTCTATGCCCATTTTGGTAGATAGGTACTATATTTGCCCTTTTTTCACTTCTTTGAGATCTCTTCCATCATCCATGATTTCCCAATTATAATAACTAATGGCTCAGAGACCTCTTCGGCCAGTTCCTTGAGTATTCTAGAATGTATTTTGTCAGGCCCTGCTGATCTGAAGTCATAAAGGGGGTGATGACCATGCAACCTCCATGATACAATATGTTTCAAGATTCTAAGCAAGAAATAGATAACAAACCTAGCTGTAAAAGTCTGCTTTTAGTGGGATAATGTACAAGCCTTTTTATGCTAAGTAATAGATATAAATTTGCATCTGGTGTTTGCTGTGTTAAATTTCCCAGTCTTTGGTCCACTGTCCGCCTCCTGCTATTTTCCTACTGTATTATGGTTGCTTCTAAATAAGACAATATTACTTCATAGGGAAAGTCAGAAAACATTTGCTGAAACTTTTTCAAACACAAAAGGTTACATTTTTGATACTTTATACAATATTTTTCCTTTTTTATTTCTATCACGCTCTGCTTCATTCAGCTTTTTTACGCTGCTTATTCCTAAGGCAATTCATGACATAAAAGTGATGAGACAGACACTACGCTGCAATGTTTTCTTGACAGACATTAACAACTGATGATTGATATACTAGGAGAAATAAAAAGATGCCAATTAAGCAGTGTGTCAGGTAAGCAATAGCCTTTGTATTTTAAACAAAGAGAAAACATCCCCTTCTCAAGGTTATCCAAAATGTTGTGTTTCCTAATTGTAATTTGCTTTCAAGTGAAAAGAGAATTACTTGTACTGTGCCTTTGAGGTTAATATGATCGATAAATAGAAGTGCTTCACCAGAGCACCATAATGGCACTTTCATTTTGTTTGAAATGACTATTTGTAAAATGAGTTTTACTTAATTAAAACAAAATAGAACATTATGTTAGACCTAAAGCAAAGTGTAAACAAATTCAAAAAGGCTCTTCAAAAAGTACTATAAGATGAAATGCACCGAAATATTATTGCATGCAGTAAACTGTGTGCACAATATATTATTCTTGATGATTAGCAGAAGGTTGGATACCTCTATCTGTTGGTCAGCTAAGTTTTAGTTGCATGGTTCCAACAACAAATGTTGGATTTGATGGGTTTGAACAAGATCAGCAAAACTGACTCCACGATGCAGGTGAAAAGCCTCACAGAGCTGCATCCTAGATACGGACTTCTCATGGCCTCCATGTGGCTGACTCAATGCATTAGGGTTCAGACTTCAGAGTCATAAATGTAGCCATAGATGAGAAGTGCAACAATATCGTCACCATCATCAGTGATAAACTACCAACATCTCTCTCTCACACACATTTTAAATTGGAATTGTAAACAGCAATGTTTTGATTACATCTGAATCTCTGTGCTTCCTGTTGTCTGAACACAGTGAATGTCGCTCTTGGCATTTTCCTTTTTTTCAAATACTACTTGATAATGTATTTTTCAGAGAAGAAACGTTTAGTGATGTTCCACCTATTTACATCTATTTGTTTGTGTATGTGAGAAGCCAGGGGATGAAACACTTACCCATCGGTGGGGAATATAGATAAAATAGATAATGTAGATAACTTTCTCAATTTTTCAATTTATTCAGTTTGGTGACCCCTTTTTCTAAGACAAAATTGTTCTGTGAGTAAAAATGCATCCATGACAGCAATCATAAGCCGATATAACTTATTGTATATTTTGAGAATTTAACAGAGTTGAAGCCTACTTGACCTTGAAGGCTGAAACTGTACAGGAAGCTGAGCAGTGATATTTCATTTACTTTAGATTGCAATAAAGGTTTCAAAACTTTTGACCTCCCTCAAATTCCCTTTTGTGATTCCATAGAGGTTGTGACCCACTGGTTGAGAAATACTGACCTAAATCATGTAGATAAAGCCACAAGTTCATTGAAAATCAGATTTCAAAAGTCTGGGATCTCAAATGAAGTCCCCTCCTGCATAATTTCACTCTGCATACATTTAAAGTAGATGTGTGTGGGCTGAGTGAAACATAGATAAGAATGGTCTCCTTGGAGTTATCTGATACAAACATGGTTGTAAATGATCAAAATGTCCCAGACTTACTTTCAGGAAATGAGTTTTAATCTTCCCACAGTTTTTGCCTCTTTGTTCATTCACAGGGGAATAGAATATGTTTTTTGCTGGGATTCTTGCATATGCAACTCTTTTGTTGTTGCTGAGCATCCAGATGAACACATCAGGCACAGTATGCTGTGGCTATTAACATGAGAGGGAACAAAACTTACATGCTTTGAACACTTGAGCTGCATTAATAAATGTTCTTTTTTATGAGCAACCATTATTAAGTTTTATTAAACATCATCTAACAAGAGCTTCATTCAACAATCTGACATAACAAAGCCAACTTTTCCCAAGAAGAGACAGCCTCGCACTATAAACTAGTTAATCTATCAATTCACACCTAAAAATCCATAACCAGATTGTGAGATAGCCTCGCACTATAAACTAGATAATCTATCAATTCACACCTAAAAATCCATAACCAGATTGTGAGATATATAAAATCTGCCCAACCCTCAATGCCTGAGCACAGCCAGAGTTTGTTCCTTTTAAAGTTTTCAGCTTTAATCTTTTAAGGTGCTCACTTTGTTCAAACAATCAAAGAGAGGGTTAGTAGGTTACTTGAATGTGGGCTATAAGGGTCTACACAGGGGGAAAAGATCACACATTAAAGGATCTCTAAGGTAGCAGATAAAGGCAGAACAAGCCGCAGTGGAGGGAAATAGAAGATACAGGAATTCAAACTAGAAATCTAGTGCAAATTTTGAACATTGATTCTTATTGAGGGATGACGGATTGGAGATGCAGGAGGGGGCAACGGGTTTCAGAGCTCAAGGCTGGGGCAGGGGATTGAGGAATGAGGGTGGGGCGCAGGCTTACCTCTGGCAGCTCTAAGTCAGTGGTGCAGCAGGGGGTGCTAAGGCAGGCTTCCACCACAGACCATACTGCACCTCAGAAGTGGCCAGCAGCAAGTCTGGCTCTGCGTGCTGCTCTTGCCCACAGGCACCACCCTGTGGGAACTGGGCAATGGAAGTGCAGAGCCGATGCTCAGGGGAGGGGCAGTGCGCAGAACCCCGTGCTCCCATTTCCCCGCCTAGGGGCTGGACCTGCTGCTGGCTGCTTCTGGAGCACAGCACGGTCTGCAGTGCCAGGACAGGCAAGAAGCTGACCTTAGCACCCTTGCTGGTCACTGGTCACCCTACAGCAAGGTGACCTATGGGGTATCCTGAATTCTACTCCATCCTGCACCTTTCATTCAGGTGCTTCTTATACTCTAGATTCCTTGTTTACTTTCAGATGAAATCTCACCATGGAGGCCTAACATTCTTTATTTAGGCAAATGCACACACAGCGTATCCAGTTTGTTCCTGTCACAGTGCTCTGGGAATAGCCCAATTTCCCAGGGCATTTCCCATGCTAAGGGCTGTACATGAAGAGATATAGAGCAGTGGGGATAAGCAGATAGTCAAGTCTAGTGATCTAACTGAGGATTAGATGTACCATATTATTCAGGTGTATTCATCTTAGCTAAAGCATTATACATGGTGGCTAGGTAAAGTCCCGTGTCAATGGCAATTTACCTCATCAACCAAGAATCGAATTTTCTCTACAAAGTTCTGTGTTTCACGCATCAGTTCATCGACTGACATAACCTTTTTCTGATTCTGAACAATTCCTTTGGCATCCGAGGACATTGCTTCCTAGAACGGGAATAGACAATAAGTATTTAATCTACACTTCTGAGTTGATGAAAAACATATTTCAAATGATCCAATGCAGCTATACAAAATGTGCTTTTTCTTCACACAAGGAAGAAATCCCCAGAAATTTGTGTTTACTGCTCCTAGCACAAAGGGGTATTGTTCCTGATGGAGAACTCTACTCAATACTGTTCTGCAAACAACGCATAAAAATAATACATACATTTACTGTGCAACCAAAGTATAGTAGAAATGTGGGCCTATTAGGATATGTAAAAATCCTTCTATATATTTACTATATAATAATGATATTTTATTATATGAATGTGATCCTATTTCTAAAAGGTAATCGTAATTTCACTGAAAATTGCTAGTACTCATCCAAACTCTGAATCAGTCCCTTATGTGTATATATTAAAAAATGGTTCCTCTGATCCTGAGAAAGGGTGGTCCACAGATTATGTTAGTCCCTGAGGCCTTAGAAAATTTAGGTTCAATTCCTTGCTCTGCTACTGGCTTTCTGTGTAACTTTTGGCAATACACTACTCTGTCCTAGCTCCCCAATGGATCTGTGCTTCAGTTCCCTATTTGTAACATGGGGTAATAGTATTTCCCTACCTCACAGAGCTGTTGCAAAGAGACATAACGTAGAGATTATCTAGCACTCAGACACTATATTAATATGGTCCGTATATGTTCGCTAACACAGAGAGATATGTACATATAATGTAGGGAGATACACAAAAATATATGGATAGTTCATTCTCTTTTGCATATTCTGGGCCAGATTCTCATTTACAGTAAGATATTTATATGCCACTCTCACAGTGTAAAGGGATCTTCATATGGATGGAACTGTGCCAGAGCTGTGTAAATGGGGCTTAGTGAGAATCAAAATCAGATTAGTATTATTAACATTGAACAATAATAAAAAGAATATTTTAAAATACACACATTTATTTACAAATGGGCGTGTCTAAACTTTTATTTATTTACAAATGGGTGTGTCCTTTTTTGAGGAGTACAGGATCTATCAAAAAAGCTCCCCGTTGTCGGCAGAGCCGTGGCTAGACTTTACTTTCACTTTCTAAAGGGCGCGTGATTGGCATAGTGCCCAAACGTGAGTATGCAAATGCAGCCTGGGATATTTAAATCTCAGGCTCATTTGCACTTTCAAAGTGCTTGATTTGTATTCCTCTGCCGACAGAGGGATGCAGTCTGGAGATAGCCTATATGTATTGCTATATCAGCAGAAATATGTAAAAATAACAAAAATATTATAGATATGATTCTTCTATCATTTAGGCCCACATCCAGCAAAGCAGTCAGGCCTGGTTTAAATCAGCATTTTACAGTGGCTATATCTAGACTACGGGGTTTTGTTTTGTTCTGATTTTTTTTTTCGAAAAAAGTGGCTTTTTTTTTTAACTTCACCTGCGTCTAGACTGCTGTCGTGTTCTTTCAAAATTAAATTGAAAGAATGCGGCGATCTTTTTGACAACAGTAAACCTCATTTTATGAGGAAGAATGCCTTTTTTGAAAGAGCTCTTTCAAAAAAAGGCGATCTTGAACACAAACAGGGCTTTTCTGAAAGAGAGGGTTCAGATAGCCTGGGTGCTCTCTTTCGTAACAGCAGATTGCTTTTTCAAAAGTGTTGTTGCTGTCTAGATGATCTCTTTCAAAAGACGCTTGTAGTCTAGACGTACCCAGTGTAAATCAGTGTAAAAATTATTGTAAAATCAGGGTAGATGTGAGGGGATTAACTTCACTGAACTGTTGGGAGTTACATTATTGTAAAATCAGGGTAGATGTGAGGGAGAACAAAGCTGTCTGTTGTAATTGTTTATTTCATGTTATATACTGAAAATGGTATGTTCAAATTACTTTAAAGTATCTTAAAATGTTCTGCTTATACACAGCCTTTAAAAACTCTTAGAAGCTATTTTCACATGCATTATTAAGCACTCTGGCACTGAGAAACCAAATCCGTATTACTACATGCACAGGATTTATGTTTAAAATTAACTCATTATGTATTGTGACAGTATTTAAAGAAAAATCCTTTCATACCAGTTCTAGCCTGCACATCATGAGTCTCTTTGTGTCCAAAGTTGTCTGGTTTGTCCCTTTGGGCTTCTTTTCAGCATTAACAATGAAGGCTCTGTGATCAGGGCATAGGAATATAGAAGCATTTGTTATGATTTAGGTTATATTGTTATGTGGGCTGATAATACAGCCTGCGAGAGAATTTATTATCTAGCACAGTGCATGAAGCAGAAGATGGTGATGCTGAAATTGTCAGTTGAATATAAATGTTGAGGGCACCACCAATATTAGAGAGCATTGAGAAGTACATATAATCTGTACAGTAATGATCAGATGTAAATTAAGTCACTGCTGGACTTTGCCTCTATTTTGGGTCCAAGCCTTCCATCTTGCACAGGGCCTATGCAAGAAGATCCTTGGTATTCATTTTGATTCTGCGTGATTTTTATAATGTGTCTTTCTTGCACCTTATTGCTTCTCAATTACTCTCACATAAATGTTTTATTTTGAGAGTCCAATCTAAGACTGAATCCAGTAATTTACAGATCAAAAACAAGTCCTGGAAATTAAATAAAATTTTATTGCATAAAATAGGAGACAGAGGTTGTAGGATCCCTTACTTTTTCAGCAGAATACAAAGTACTGCAAATTAAGCTCACTGTATTTTCCATGCATTGTGACAACTTGTGGGTGCATAGCCTGGAAATTGCTACTAGTTTATAAAGTACATTTCATGCTCCTCTAGTAAATCAGGTTACCTGCATTGATTGATAAAGGCATTTAGAGTGGTTTTCATTTTCTCTTCTGCTGCAGTTTCTGAAACCTTGATTAAATCTTTTACTTCCTCTAATCCTTCTTCCTATAAACAAGATGTAAAAAATACCCAGTTGTATAAAGAACAGTCAGTCTGCCAGTGTAATAATTTGTACATTGCTTATTCAGAGTCTAGCTAGTCAGAGGAAGATAAGGTCTTGCAACATGATCAGTCTGATCTTCAACATACCATTAAGCTTGGAGCATGCAAAGGAAAGACCACAAGCGTGTGATTCTGTTTGGGCCTTTCTACAGTCTTCCCAACACTTAAATGTGACAATTTAAGGGTCATCGTCTTTAACTTATTTGTAACTGTAACCAAGTGGAGTGTATTCCCTAGTGGCTAGATTACGAGATTTTTGGTTTCCTGAATTCCTACATGTATATAGGTCTGCTATTACCAAGATGTTTGTCTTAGGCAAGTTGCTTTTTAAGTCAAATTTGTCGAACTAGGATGGAAAGCAGAAAATTTGAAATGCGTTTGGTTTGGAGTGGGGGTGGGGCAGAAATTGACAATTTGCAAAGAAAGCAGATACTTTCCACAGAGGTTTTTATTTAGTCACACCACAATTTTCCATCAAGAGAGATTTTGACAGATACATTTTAAATAAATTCTGACAATATGTAGTACCAGGCTTACCAACAGATCTGCCATTTTCTCTAGGACATTGGACAAGTACAACCGGAAGGTCTGATCTCCCCAGTAGCTCTTTATACAGACACAGGGCTTCTTCTCATTATATTGCAAGTAGTAATAGTTCCTGTGAAATACATTAAACACTATGAGCAGTTTATGTAAATAACAGGCCAAATCCTTGGGTCCCAGGATTACATGGCTGTACTTCACCTTGCTGTTAGTGGTCTGACCACCCATTGATACATCATTTCATCTGTGAGTGTGAGTATAATAGTGTTTTTATGTAGTAACTATATACCTATTTACTTAGCTTTTTTTTTTCTTGTTTAATATAGTCGGGCTGTATCATTCAGAGTGTCACCTAGTAGTCTGCTACTAAATAAATTTTCTGTAATTGACCTAGAGATTCGAACATGAAAACTAAGCTTTGTTTTATTGCACCCTTATCTTTAGCAAATTAATGTTAATTGGGAACTTTTCAACAGAATAAGGTTACAAAAGACCACTCTCATGTTACTGGGGGAAAGAAAAATCCATCTCCACACTCATTCCCCAGGGAATTATATTAATGGAACTCATTGAATTATGATTTCCAGTGCTTCTTGGCATTTGGTCATGCATCTGATGAAGTGGGTCTTTGCCCACGAAAGCTTATGCTCCAACACTTCAGTTAGTCTATAAGGCGCCACAGGACTCCTCGCCACTTTTGCAGATTCAGACTAACACGGCTACTCCTCTGATACTTGGCATTTGGTGGTACTTTTCCATTTTAGTTTTTGCAGAGGGGGCAATTTGACTCTATTGTGACAGAGAACACGGTAGTCTTAAAAGAGCAATGCTTGGCATCCTATCATTAATCTCACTATGAGAAGCGCAACAGTGATTTTTTTCATGGCTAGTTTGTCTTTCTATATGCTTTTATATTATACTAGAAGATTAACGCAGCATTGCTCGGGTCCTAACTCAAATCAGTCTTATTTTCCTTCAGTTAAATCATTGTTCTAGGGTGGGACTGGGGATGAGGGGTTCAGTGCAGGCTGCCCCAGGAAGAGAGGACAACCCTAGCCCTCTCTCACCGCAGCAGCTTGGGAACAGGGTAGAAGCATCTGGCTGCTGCAGAGGGCACAGCTGGGGGAAGGGGTGCATGTCTTATAAATTCTTACAAAGTCTTTCATTTCTTCTATGTTTCACTAGCCATTGCTGAATTTAATTGAATGATTTACTGTCAGGAAAGATCGAATCCAAATAATTCTGAACTTTGTGCAGGTTCAGAAACCAAAACTGAGATCCAGTTCCAAAATCCCTAGAATGCCCCAATATCTGTAACCCCCACTGGCAGAGCCATAAAGCCTACAAGCCTACTTCTTATTAGCATTCAATAATGTTACGGATAATTCTATCTACCAAGACGACAAAAGTAGACTGTGTTTTTATTGATATCTTTGACAGGAAATTAAATGCTTAAATAAATCTGTGTGTGTGTGTGAGAGAGTGAGGGTACGTCTAGACTACATGCCTCTGGCGACAGAGGCATGTAGATTAGGGTACCGGACATAGTAAAATGAAGCGGCGATTTAAATAATCGCCGCTTCATTTAAATTTACATGGCTGCCGCGCTGAGCCGACAAACAACTAATCAGCTGTTTGTCGGCTCGCGTGCTAGTCTGGACGTTCCCCCTGTCGACATCAAAGCCCTTTGTCGGCAGCCCCGTTATTCCTCGTGGAATTAAGTTTACCGGGGCTGCTGACAAAGGGCTTTGATGTCGACAGGGGGAACGTCCAGACTAGCACGCGAGCCGACAAACAGCTGATCAGCTGTTTGTTGCCAGAGGCATGTAGTTTAGACGTACCCTGAGAGAGAGAGACATACAAAGAGAGACAGACAGACTCTGGTACTTTCATAAGTCCAACAACTCTCCATCTTTTCTTTATGGTCTGGTTCTTCTGTTTTCCCCTACCTATATGACTATTTGTTACTTAACTCTGTAACTGTATTTTCTAGATATAGAAATGTTTTGGAATGAAATCTGATTATCTACAAAATAAGGACCAGATTCTGATACCCTTGTTCACTTGAATAATAACCTGCTCTTCATGTAGTATCACTAATTTCAGTGGAGCTGCTTACAGAGTAAGAGACAACTCACTGTCATTAAGGGTATTGGATTTTGGGCCTAACTTTGTACTGAGTTGAATTGAAAAAGTTACTCTTCCTTCTCAGCCTCTAGAATGTGGCACTGTAATATACCCCTGTTAAAGGCACCAAAATTCAGAGACCACCCCCCATTTGAACCAAGATCCTCAGCTGGTATAACCAGGACAGATCTATTGACTTTAATAAGGCTCTTCTGATTTATACTGGTAAGTTATCTTTTAGCATGTTCTACAATAGGCTGTTCTCTTTAAAACAAACTCCACACACCATGTTCAATGCTGCTGGCAATTGTTAAATCAAAAACCTATACCCTCGTGTTACAGGGCAAAAACCAGAAAGCTATACATTAAGGTCATGGAGTTCAAATGTTCTACCGGTTTCCTTCTGTGAGGACTGGCTTCTCAGGGTGGGTGGTGGATATCATTGGTAATGTAATGTCATGTGATGCTTCACTCTCCCCTTCATGCAGCAATGGGGCATGTTCTTCCTCTTCTCCCTCATGTCCCTTCTTTTTACCACCAGCTTCCGGTGACACTCCATCAATAACATTTCCAAAGTTACCTAGGGATACACAATAAGGTTAACAGGGTAGGGAATAGAATCAGGCTCCATTATACATTTTGGTTTAGCCACATTTGGATCCCAATTCCAAGCAGACACAAAGTTGAACAAGGGCACCAGAACGAGTGTTCAGCTCCAGGCTCACTGCCAGTTTCCATTCTTAATGTGAACTGATCTTTGGCCCTTATTGCACAAGTTCACAAATGAGCTTGCTGTTAATTTTGGCTTATTTCTCCTCTGAATGTCAGCATAAGTCAATACTGCACATTGCTTTGTTTGCCTGCGAGGTCCCTCCCTGCACTCACTTTCTTCTGAAGGAACACATATCCAGGCACATGAGTGAGCACAAGGAAAATATGGGACTCTCACTGTGCACAGAGACCTCCTGAGGAAAGTAAACCAAAAGAGGATGGGCAAAGTCCTTCAGGTGAAACTAAGTTTGATCCAGGCTTCCCCCTGGAACTGATGTTTCTGGGGCATGGAAATGTTCAGCTAATATTTACAAACAGATCTTTCATTTTCTCTGTATTCTGCACTGCAGCATGCAGGAAAGGCCAGGCATTTTTAGGGCTGGGGGCCAGAGCCCCTGCAGAAAGGATCCATTAGAGTCATGGGCAATAGCTGCTGCTGAGCGATTTGTGGGCCAGGATGAACAGTCTTTGTGATTCATCCCTCTCACAGAGATACCCAGGACTATAGCCTACTACACTAGATGGTGCTAGCTGAGAAGATTTGGGCCTATGGAATCCAAGTGTGACTGAAAACAACAAAGGCTCGGTGTTCTCTGATTCACTTGAAACACTAGGAAAATGACATCCAAATGAGCCACGAGGCTCAGAAATGAATTGCAATGTATAGGTACTCCTCTGCAGTCAGCCCTGAGCTTTTTGACATGCATCCTTCAATAATATAGTCACCTCAATGCACTAAGACTTAACGCCTCTGAAGAAGCCATGGATGGTGGGTGAAGCCTCCCTTTGGGGAGGCTAGCCCCCAGCTCTGCCACTTCCCCTGAATGCCCCCACCACCCGCATGGCTGGAAGCATGGGCCACACCCAGAGGAGCCCTGTATGCCCCCTGCCTCTTCAGCTGGAGGCGCATCGGGCTGACTGGAGGTCTGAGTGCCTTCCCTCATTTGTCCAAAGGAGCCCCGAGCCAGCCTTGCCACATCTCTCCAGACACCAAGCTGCTGCAGGGATAAGCATCTTGGACTCTTTCTGGAAGAAATTTTTGCTATGCCCCAAGCAGGTTCTGGGGCAGCAGAGCAGTGGTATCTGCTACTAAGCTTCCTTCTGAGTCCAGGAAGATTACTAATGAACCCAGGAAGCACAATAGCACATACTGCCTCCTCAGCCACTGCAGAACCCAAATGGGGCATAATAAAACAAAAGCTTCCCCCCAAAGCCTGGCAACAGGGAGTTTCACGGCCACAGCTGTGCCAGGAGATGCAGCGTCTCTTCTGGCCTAATATACCTGCCACCCACGGGAGAAGTGTTTTACATGTCCTTACCGACAGAAACCTCAAAGCTTATTGGTTTATCTCCAACCTTCCTGTCAATCATCGTGGCTTCAAAAAATGCCCCAAACAGAAGGAATTCCTCAGATTCCTCTTTGTGGACCTGTGGGGAGAAAATTACATTAGCTTTACTTTTTATTTTTTTGTTTGTTTGTTTTTAGTGCACAGAAGCAGTGCTTAGTTTTTTCCACCTCTCAGCTTTGGCAGTTCATAGCCCTGAACCTCTGGCCTTGTCACATTAGGAATGAAACTTAAAAAAAAAATTGCTTGAGCCTCAGCACCTAATTGCTTGAGTCCTGGCTCCTCTTTCATTACAAATTAAGCATTGCACAGAAGTCTCCGTGAATGGTTTTAGCACATTCACTTACTGCAATGCAATCATTCGAGCTATCTGTCTCTAACAATTCCAGGGCACTGTTTTTGTTTGGAATCAACAGTGAAATTTCACTGCCTTGAAATAAGTCATATTAAACTTAGTGTGGCAATATAACTTCCAAGCAATGCTGTAGTAAACTATGTAGCATTCTAATGAATTCCAACCCTAGAGCTGTCACATCTGTTTTACCCATCCTCAGAGTCACTTCATGATGGGGCTAGAAGGGAGCCCAAGAAGCCACCAAGTCCAGCTCCTTAAGGACCAATTAAATCCCCTAGACCTTCCCTGACAGGTGTCTGTCCAAACTGTTCTTAAAAACATCCAGTGATGGGGGCTTATCTATCTTCATAGTCACATGTTTTTTTCTCATACCTAACCTAAATTACAGCCTCTCTTGGAAGCATATTTCAATGCTTATCTATCTTCATAGTAACATGTTTTTTTCTCATACCTAACCTAAATCACTCTTACTGCAGATTAAGCCCATTATTTCTTGTCCTACCTTCTCTAGGCCAGGACAACATGTTCTCTTTACAACACCTCTAACCAAAGTTGAATATTATTATCAGGTCCTCCTCTGTCTTCTTTTCTCAAGACTAAAACCCAGTTTTGCAAACCTTTCTTCACAGATCAAGTTTTTAAAACCTTTTATTATTCATGGGCCTCCTTTGGTCTCTTTCCAATTTGTCTGCATCTGTCCTAGGTGTGGTGCTCAGAACCGGGCACAGCCCTCCAGCTTAGACGTCATCAGTGCTGAGTACAGAAGGACAATTACCTCCCTCATTTTACAAACAACACTCCTGGTAAGGCACTCCAGAATGGCATTAGCCTAGGAGATGCTCAGGTCAAGCATTCTGAAGTCAATGGGATTTAAAGGGCCCTCAGCATCTTCCCAGGAAGTTCTCACCTCCACATAGTACCAGAGCCACCCACTGTAAACCATGAGAGTCTTCTTACTCAATTGACTTTGGCTCAGACCCCAGGGATTTTCTTTCACTGCGTGCATGCTGATTTAGTGAGTGAAAATCTGAGCACAATTTGGCAAAGTGAGTCTCCTAACAGAAAGAATAATGGGGCAATGACTGAAAGAAACCATGTGTATTTTAATCCTTGCTGCCTGCTTTTATCAAAGGAATGAACCACTCTTGGTATAGTATCGCCCAAGGCATATATGTCTTGAAATACGTATGCATTGTACTGCTGCAAGGAATAGTTCTAAATTGAAAGAAATATCAGCATGTCATAATAAAACTATCAACGAGAATGCATTGCAGATGAAGTTCAGATTTCTCTGTTACATGATTTTTTTCAACATTCACATGAAATATATGGCAACAAGGGAAACCAGGTTTTGGAAGCTGTGCCACACTCTTCTATGACCATTTACAAAAGCAATGAATTTTGAGAGCTCATTATGTTCTTGGTGTTGTGCTCCAGCAGTAATGTCAGAATATGAGGCAAGTTGATTTACCCCCAATTGCAGACACATCTCATAATATGTTTATCACTTTTCAGTTTATTTGCAATCTCCAGCATTCTTGAGATCCCTTTTACAGGTGTGCAACAGAATGATTTTGTCTATGGCAGCAGGAAATCTTTTTGAATGTCGACAAGGAAAGAATATCAAGAAATATGTGTTACTGAATTTTATCTGTTCTGAAATTGAGAGTCAGATATCAGTTGCTAGCAATTATCCTCCTGATAATAAATCCTGATATTAAATCCTATTAATTGGCATTACAATAGTGTCTATTTACCCACAGAAGATATGTCTATATCCCCATTACTTTGCTATTTGAGCACTTCACAGTCTTTAATGTATTTATCCTCAAAGCACACCATTATCCTCATTAGCAGATGGAGAACTGAATTATAAACACTCAAAGTTATTTAAGTGCCAAACGCCCATTAAAACCCCATGATAGTCAATGGGAGTTAGATGCCTAAATATCTTTGAGGACCTGACTTAAGTGACTTACCCAAGGTCACGCTAGTAGAGTAGGAAGTTGAACCTATATTTCCAAGTCCACTCTAGCCCCCTAGCCACTGGACCATCCTTCCTCTCACACTGCACTAGGCACTTTTAAAACAGAAAGGGGCTGAGCCCCAACTAATGTAAACCAGCCTAACATATGTGAAGTTAATGGGGATATGCCAATTTATAGCAGCTGAGTATCTTGCCCATGGTAAGTTGCGATCCCTGCTCCAAAGAGCTCACAATTCCAGAAGAGAAGCCAGATGAAGGTTAAGAAAGAGGGGCACAACATGCAGTCGGACTGTCTCTCCTCACACTTCCACTGCGTTCAGAATAGTGACTTTAATGGCACTACTACTGGTTAGACAGTGTCTATCAATCCCAACAATGCCCACTGGCTCTATTATTAGTTGTCAGTTTCTTGTAGGTATTGCAGCAGAAGTGGGCCTCAAGGAGGGACTTGAAGAAGGAGAGGACAGCGGCCTTATTGGCTTTGAGTCAAATTCTCTGCTGTCATAAAGAGGTGAAATTCCACTGGAAGCAATGGAGCTATCTCCATTTATGCTAGCTCACACTTTAGCCCTAGTTCAGGGAAGGTGGCCCTCACTGTGGAGGCAGTCTGCAAACTGCATTCTCCATCCTGAGCTCCCATAAAGGGAGAGGTTCCTAAAGGAAGGAAATGCTGAGAGCCCTGGACCTAAGAGAGGGCCATGGTTCCACTCCTTCTTAGCACAAAATTTTCTGGCACAATACAGCCTTTTGTCCACCATGTTCAGGGGTCCATTAAAGGTATCCACCAGAGGGTGGATAGACCCTTCCAATTGAATGAGTGCACTAGAGTAAACTGCTGAAGGGGCACCAACCACCTGCAGCAGCACCTTCTGGCCCAGCATCAAGACCCTAATTCAGCCTGGTGTGGAGGAGAGGGAAGGGGATGGCTGGAGAGTAAGCCAGCCCCACACTCACCCCAGAGCAAGCAGTTCCTATTCTGTGGGGGTTGGCCCAGTGCTCTGAGCATTGCAACCCAGCACACAGGTTACCAGCACCACTCAAGTTTGACCTGGCTGGTCCTCTATCATGGCAGAGGGGGAGCCATGCCAAATCTAAGTGTGTGGTTTGACCTGGCTGAGGGGGAGCCATGCCAAATCTAAGTGTGTGGCATTGCAAACTCCTGTGCAGAAACACAGCACCACTGAGGTTTGGCCTGGCTGCCCTTCCATTGAGTGGTGCTGCAGCTCCATATGCCAGTCACAATGCCCATGAGATAGAAGTTACTGCTGCAGGGTGAGTATGGGCTCGCACACCTGCCCATGGGGCCTCCCCTCTGCACTGGGTCAGAAGAACTGTATATTTGCCATCAATACAGTTCTGCTCTTGGGCTCTTTACCCACGTCTGATTAATGTGAAGCCCAGCACACCTATCAATAGAATATCATGGATTTTAAACATTTAGTATGTTTGAACCCTTGATTTCATTATTTCTATGAAGGCCTTTGAATACTCAAACTTACAGTAAAGCCACTACTGGGGATTTACCCCTGATTTGGAAACAGTTTATTTTCAAGAGAGAATGAGGGATCTAATTTTTAAATGTGGATGACTTGTGATGACAACCAGAGTGGGTGCTGAAATAAAGACCCTCAACATTATATTGTGAACACTTCAGGGAAAGGACTAAAGAATTGCCATAAAGAATTGCCTTCAGGGAAAGGACTAAAGAATTGGGTCAGACCCTTATCCTGGATCTTGTCTCCAACTGTTGCCAACAACAGATGCCTCAGAAGAAGGCACAAGAAACCCCACAATATGCCGGTATTGGAGTGAGTCTGTATGGCCTGTTCTACACCCCAGCGTAAGGTCAAATTAAGATATGCAACTCCAGATACATTACTTACGTAGCTGGAGTTGACATATCTTAAACTGAGATTGCGCACCATCCACACAGCAGGAGGCCAATGGGAGAAAACACTCCTGTCAGCTTCCCTTACTCCTCATGAGGAGCAGGACTACTGCCACTGATGGGGGTTCCCTCTGAGTTCACTTTAGCAGGTCTTCACTAGACCCGCTAAATCAAACCCTGGAAGATCAACCCATGGCAGCATCGATCTTTCATGTAGTGAAGACATGGCCTATGTGTGGCAAGCCCAGATCAGGGCACAAGTACACTACTGATAGTAAATAATGATTCCCTTACTATATAAGGTATATAATAGTAATGACATATATCATTCACCTGACAAACCCTGTAACTGAATGTGGGCATATGAACCCACTGCACCTGTGGTGATTCACATCCATGTTACAGTCCCATGTGCATGAGTGGGGGTCTGACTTTGTCAGTTAGCTACCTACTTTGAAACAAATGTCAATCAATCTCTAAATTTTAAACTAACCTCAGCAGGCACATCGAAGGGCTCAACTTCTGCCTCGGTGGAGTTTGCTTTGTCTGAAGGAGGAGACGATTTCCCATCTTCTGCTGCTTTGTCTGTTTTCTCTTTTCCTTTAGATGCTTTGGGGTCTTTGTCTTTGGAAGGTAACTTTATGTCTTTGATGATCTTTGAAAATTTAGACTCGTGGGCTCCCCCTGAAAGTATCTCCACTGCAATTTCAATAAGCAGGCGGCCTCTGAAGGAGACACCTTCCCCAAAACCTTCATTGAGCTCCTGGTGGTCGTCCATTAGGCTGTGGTTCCTAGGTGAGCCATAGAGATTGATCCAAGCTGGTCCAAAGGTAGGCAAGAACCCTGGAGATGGTGCATATTTCACAGCATTTGCATGACAAGCTCTCACTCTCACGCACATTCTGTTTGCAGAACTCTGTTCTTTGAGAGCTTTACTCAGTAAGGGGCTCAATCTGGCCCTACTTCTATGGGTGCTGCTGTTCCTCCAGCTGTATGAGGGCATTTGGGCAGGCTGCATGGTGCACACCCCAATACAATACAAAACACTGCTCCCCAGGGAAAACCTATGTACTGTCAGCTAGGAACTGAGGTGGTGCAGCATGAAACAGACCATCTGCCACAATGAGCCTCCTCCAGCAGTTCCTCCTATGGAATGGGAAGGTGCCAGAGCCTTGGAAATGAAGGAGCATCTCCCCTCATCCTCTGCAGATTGAGACTAGGATGTGGAGGGGGGGGGGAGGGACAGAGGAGAGTTGCCTGTCTTTGGACCCCAAGGAGTTCCAGTGCTCATCCCGCCACGTGGACTGGGAACTGGGGAGAGGATTTAGCTCTATGACATTTTAAAATGGTTTACTTTTCTCTTGCGGAGTAACTAAGGAACAAATAGTTGCCCCTAAGTGGATCAGAAACAGAAGGCCCCTGAAAAATGATTCATGCTTGTTTGTCTGGCAAAGCAAGTGCCACTGGCATCAGCCCTGCATTCATATAACTTGACCCTAACTGAATTAGAAATACCACATGGTAGCAGATGATGACAAGAATCCTTTTTGTCACTGATCAAAATGATGCTATTTAGGAGAATTTATAACAAAGGAAACAACACCATTCCATTAAACACACAAAAAGACTCAATTCTGTATAAAGTAGGAGGATTTTTCATAGAACCAACAAAAGGCCTTACCCAGCCTTCACTACATCCCTTTGAAACCCTTAAGTGAGACTGAACCGGTACTCACTCTGGTGAATTTCATCCTACAAGCACAGGGGAGTTTTTATAACATGTCTTCCCCTTTACCTTTAACTCCATCTTGTTCATTTGAAATTTTCTTCAGGTCTATGAAGTGTGTGGCTAAGGCCACATCATTCATGCTGCCTTCATCCCACACCTGGATTTTGACTCTTCGACACAGCGGGGGGAACATTTCCTTGAAGACAATCTGTTCATGCCACACAGGATCAGCACAGTTTTTTTTCACTGTTGTTCGCCCCTAAAATGAAAGACCAGCAGCTCTAGGCCTTGAGGCTAGACTAGATTCTGGAGAATGATACTGCCTGTAACAAAGTCCTCTAGCAAGCCCTGTCACTTCTATCACACAGTCTAAATAAAAATAATTGCTCAGCACAGGTTTCCAGTCTAGTATATTTACTGACACTTGAAAGCATCTCTGCTTTTCTGTTAGTCAATGTTAGCATAGAGCATAATGATCTATTTGCAATAAGTACTGTGGGAGTTTCCTTATTAGGTTTCTCCTGAGTATTTTGTGAAGGGCCACATTTTGAATTGGGACTCATGCTAGCTTGGGAATACTTGCACAGAACTAGTAGAGTTTAGTACGATGTATAAGTCTTCAATGTACCAGCTCAACTCCTCTCTGTGCATTCAGAGTGGTATGTCTGCTATGCAAAATTGTGCACATCCAGATGGCCTTTTTAATTAAAACTCGGCTTCTAATGAAAAGTGGTAATATAGTGCAGTTGTCTCCTGTTAGGTGAAATCCATCCCTATGCTGAGGGATAGCACAAGGCCTTATGCATCACTTGTGACCTATATAATGTATTTATTTGCAGGATTCATTTAGTTTACTTTTAAAAGGAGGAATTAAATTAGCATGAGGCATAACTTGGGTTCAATGGTTACTGGAGAGGGCCTACGGGACAGGAATCCCTCCCTCCCCCCAGGTCTGAGAATGACAGCAGGGCAGTTCCAGCTACTTTACCACAATTTCTGGCTGTAATATTGCTTTTTGCATTCCCAGTTTTCAAGGGACCAGACAGCAGATCCATGCAGTCCTGGATCCATCTGCCCTAACAAATCCCTCCCAACATTCCAAGCAGCCAAAGCAGGATGCAGTACCACTCAGGATGGGCCTGTCTGCTCCTTTGTCACTGGATGGGTAGGTGGGCCAAATCTGAATGGTGCAGCAACTCTCTGTGCACCAGGGTGCAACACAATTCAGCTTGGATTCCCTCTCAAACATGGGACCGAGGGCAAACTGTTCCCTTCTGGATGGCCAAGAATGCAGGAAAGATTCCCTTCATCTGGAGCGCAGAACAGACAGTTCTGCATACCTGATTTCCTTGGGATATCTGCCCTATTCCTGAACCTCACAATCCATCATCAGCACCACTGGAGAATTCCCACCCTATAAGTAAAACTTGATTCCACAGAAAACTCAAAGGCTATGTCTACACTCGCGGCTTCTTGCGCAAGAACATCTTGCGCAAGGGTTCTTGTGCAAGAAATCTTGCGCAAGAAAATGTCCCCACTGCCATGTGCACGCTGTGCTTTTGCACAAGAGCTCCCATGGCAGTGTGGACGCTCTCTTGAGCAAGTAAGCTCTGATGGCCATTTTAGCCATAGGGCTTTCTTGAGCAAGAAATCCTTGCTGAGCATCCACACTGCCCTCTTACGCAACAGCTCCTGCGCAAGAGGGCTTACACCTGTTAAAAAAGAGCATAGCTCTTGCGCAAGAAGCTCTCTCTTACCACGCCGTACTGTAAATTTCCTTGAGCAAGAGCAGGCTGGCAGTGTAGACGCTCTGTGGATTCTTGCGCAAGAACGGCCATACTGGAGCAAGAAGTCACGAGTGTAGACATAGCCAAACTGTGCATATGTTTGACTGCAAAGACTTTCCACAAACAGGTCAGATATTTGCACCCACCTTTTTTTTCTGATGTAAAATGTTACATATCCAGACAGATGGCTTTGTGTTCGCTAATTGAAAGCATATGGGTGCAAATTAGATAGCTAGATGTCTACAATGGGGGCACCATTTGCAGTCACAATGTATTTGTCATGCACAAATATGAGTTGCTGCCAATGCCTTCATAAGAACAGGTATATGAAAAGTTGATGAAAAATTCTGGATGTAAACATTCAGCCTGATTCTGATCTCACTTACCCCAGTGTAATGAAGACAAGCTCCATGCCACGAAATGAAGTTACACCAAAATAAAATTGGTGTAAGGCAAGAACTAGGCCCTTAGGCCTTGACTGCATTAGCAAACTTTCTAGCCTGAAAGAAGCATAAGCCAGTGGGAGCAGTGGGGGACATTACAGTGCAAACAGGCCTCAGCTGTAGGGGCCTCCCCAATAGGGAGAATAATAAAAACAGCAGAGCCATCTGAGCCCTGTCTGCAGCACAGGTTCCACCACCACTAGCATCAGAAGAGCTGCCCTGGGAGTGAATGAGAGTTAGGAAATTCAGTAGTGAAGATCCAGACCTTGGAATCCAGTTTGTGCCACCTTTTGAATTTTAGCCTTTCTTAAATGTACAACAGGACTGGGCAAAATATGATCTGCAGGCTGGATTCAGCCTGCCAAGCTGCTGGATCTGGCCCACAAGAGCCTCAGCTGGCTCCTAGCCTGACCCACACTGCTCAGCACTCAGTAAATCCAGCTGCAGGGCCTTATGTTTCTGTAAATGTTGAGAGCCCAAGGGGAGGAAGCAGAAGCTTCTCACTCTGCTCCCTCCCCCAGTAGCTCCCATTGGCTAGTTTCTGGCCAATAGCAGCTGCCTGTTTGCAAGACAGGCAGCATGCGAAGTGCCCCTCCCTACAAGCTCACAGCAGCAAACATGTCCCTTGTAGCTGTTGTGAGTAGTACAGGGGTGTGGAAGGCAGGGACCCTGGTTAAGGAACCTGCTGGTTGGGTGCTGCCCAGGTAAGGTCTCTCAGCCAGAGCCTGCCTCTGCTACCCCAGACCCTCCCTTTCCAAATCCTCTGCCCCCTAGTCCATGCAGCCCAAATATTCTGAATCCCTACTTTAGCCTCCATACATCTTCATGGACACTGCATCCCATCCTACACCCCTTCTCAGGTTACAACCCCCTCCCAGACTTTGCATCCCAAACTGCTATTCCTGGTCACAGCCCACAGCCCCACATCCCTTCCTGCATGCCTGCCCTAGGTTACAACTTCCTTCCATACCCTGCACCTCATCCTTCCCTCCTGCCCCAGGTTACAACCCTCTCCCAGACACTGCACCCCCAATCCCCTGTCCTAGGTCACAACCCAAGCCCCTTTACCCCTAACTCCAGGTCACACTCCCCTCCCAGGTCCTGCTGTTTCCCCAGTTCCCTGCCCTTCACCCAATCCCCTCCTTTACCCAAACTCCTTCCTAGATCCCACACCCCTATCCCTTACCCCAAGATCCCTTCTGCACCCAATCTCCATCCCAGCCCCTCGCACCTCATTCATTCATATAATGGAAGACTGAGGCCCTCAACCACTTTCTTGGAGTGGCCCCACATCAAAAATTATTATCCACCCCTGCTGTACAAGAATTAAACATATGTCATTAGCATAATACCACACTGTGCAATTTTTCTGCATCATCACTTCATGTTTTATTAATGATAGAAATGTAGCCGTGTTAGTCTGGTGTAGCTGGAACAAAAACAGGACTATGTAGCACTTTAAAGTCTAACAAGATGGTTTATTAGATGATGAGCTTTCGTGGGCCAGACCCACTTCCTCAGATCAAATAGTGGAAGAAAATTGTCATAACCTTATATACCAAAGGATACAATTTAATTGTATCCTTTGGTATATATGGTTGTGACAATTTTTTTTAATTGTATCCTTTGGTATATATGGTTGTGACAATTTTCTTCCACTATTTGATCTGAAGAAATGGGTCTGGCCCACGAAAGCTCATCACCTAATAAACCATCTTGTTAGTCTCTAAAGTGCTACATTGTCCTGTTTTTTGTTTTATTAATGTGAATCTACAGGACTTTATTTTTCTCTACTACTGCTACTCTACTGATGGTATTAAGTCAGCAATTTACTTACATCCTGCGCAGTTTGGGCACTAAAGAGGATAGGAGAACATACTTGCCCTACTTTTCAAGGCAGAAAGCCCAGTTCTACAGTACAGAATTACTTTGGTATAACTACATTGTGTGAATAATCCACATTATGCCAACCTAAGTGCTGTATTGGTGGGATAGTTTCTCCCACCAACATAGCTACCACCTCTCATGCATTAATTAAGCTAACAGGAGAAGCTCTTCCCCATCAGCTTAGAGGCTCTTCATTAAAGAGCTACAACAGTACAGCTGCATTGCTATAGCCATTTGAATGGAGTGTTTTAAGTGTAGACCTGCCCCAAGTAAAAGTGCATCAGCTTTAAAACATTTGCACATAACTTAACTGAGAGAAAACGAGGCCCACATTTGTGAACAATACAGTTCCAATTTACCATTTGACCTGCAAACATGACCACCACATATGGATCCACAAGGTCCTTACTATCGCCCATGAATGCTTTGGTGACATTAGCCATGATGCTGGAGTTCATCTTTGGAAGCCCCTCTGCTTTGTAGATTCTCACATAAAATCTGGCCCATGGTCTTTCAGATGGAAATCCTTTGGGAATCAAGAGGTTCCTATGAAAAAACAAACATTTCCCTCAGAATGAAAACCCAGCTAGAAAATAAAGTGATTCCCAGACTGTTCTTATAACAAAGTAGTCACACAATATTTTTTAGGGTGTAGCCTATAATAAACATTGTGTCCTAGAGGTGAAAGGATAGAAATGAAGGATATGGAGTTTGCATTTGTTTTTCCACCTAAATAAAAGCATTTTCTTGTAACCATGAGGCTGTATCTAGATTGGCATGATTTTCCGGAAATGCTTTTAACGAAAAAGTTTTCCGTTAAAAGCATTTTCGGAACAGAGTGTCTAGCTTTGCGCAAAAGGGACTTTTGCTTGAACGGGAGCAGAATAGTATTTCCGCAAGAAGCACTGATTTCTTACAGTAGGAAGTCAGTGCTTTTGCGGAAATTCAAGCGGCCAGTGTAGACAGCTGGCAAGTTTTTCCAGAAAAGCGGCCGATTTTCCAGAAAAACTGGCCAGTCTAGATGCAACCTAACTGTAGAAGGTGGTAACACCAGTTGGCAAGCAGATGGCTATGAAATGTCCCTTCTAGAAATGTTTATACACTTTGTTTCATTAAAATATACTGAGAATATGGATGGGGCAGCACAGCATACACCGTGGCTACGTTTACACTGGCCCCTTTTCCAAAAGGGGCATGTTAATTTCACAGGTCGTAATATGGAAATCCGCGGGGGATTTAAATATCCCCCGCGGCATTTAAATACTTTGAAGTAGGAATAAGATCCTCCGGAAAAGGGCTTTTTTTCCGGAGGATCGGGGCCAGTGTAGACGCTCTTTTCCGGCTTTTCTAAAAGCCGGAAAAAAGCGGCGGACATTTTTATTTAAATGCCGCGGGGGATATTTAAATCCCCCGCGGATTTCCCTATTACGACCTGTGAAATTAACATGCCCCTTTCGGAAAAGGGGCCAGTGTAGACGAGCCCTATATGTAACTTGTAATGGGAGAGCAGTGTTTATACATGTGTATAAAAAATACACGCATGCAAAAAACCAGAAGGATAAGGAAAATCTTCCTGTCATATTGAGTTTAAAAGTAACACTAAGTTTGCGGGAATCCAGTGCATTCTCCAGGCAAAAACATTGCTATTCAGAAATATTTCAAATGGCCCCAGAGCAAAGTCATTCAGGCAGGGATGATTAAGCAGTTAGCAGTATGAGATGAGAATGAACTCCCTCCGAGGCGAGGATCTGACAATCCCTCCCTTTCAGTTGGTGGTGAAATTAGAAGAACTCACCTCCCACCCCCACCCTAGCATCCCTTGAATCAAAGTAGTGGAATACAGAGACTTAGACAAGCAAGTCATGTATTCTATAAACAGAAGAATGGGACATGTTGTGGATTTTTTTTCCTTTTTGTCAGATGCAAAATAAATAAATTTTTTACAGTACTTTTCAATTTGCTCTTCAGCATCACTTGCTTTCTGAGAGGCTTGTATCGTGTCTCCTTTCCCAGTGACACTGATATCACACTTCAGGTATCCCTTGGCTCCTGTCCTAATGTCAGCAGGGTCTGTGAGAAGTGCCCACTTGTCACAAAACTGATGACCTGTAAAACATACAAGCTTAAACATCACTCAGGATAGTTTCTCAGAGCTCTGTCGCTGGGCATGGAGCTTTCACAAATACTCCCACTGCAGCATGCATGTCAGCAGTCAGAAAACAGCAAACAATGTTCATACTTTGTGAGAATAACCCTCCTGCTCACCAAGACTATTTGCAAGTGATAATAACAGTAAGTGGTGAATGACTGAGACGGAGAAGCACAGGCCAGAGTTGAGTGGAAATAAACAGGCTTGTTTGGAGCAGTGTGCAATGCTTCTCTGAGGGGCTGGCTGAAATTTCAGCACCAGACTAAGGGTACGTCTAGACTACAGGCTTCTGTTGACAGAAGTTTTGTCGACAGATACTGTCGACAAAACTTCTGTCGACAAAGAGCGTCTAGACTACATTGAGTTCTGTCGACAAAGCAAGCTGCTTTGTCGACATGGTAGTGTAGACGCAAAGGACAGTTTACATTCAATAATACCTTCTGTCGACAGAAACTCTGTCGACAGAAGGTGTTATGCCTCGTAAAATGAGGTTTACCAGCGTCGACAAAACTGCTGAGTTCTGTCGACGTTATGTCGACAGAACTCAGCGGTAGTGTAGACGCAGGTATAGTTTTGTCGACAAAAGTCCACTTTTGTCGACAAAACTCTGTAGTCTAGACACACCCTGAGGGAAGGCTGCTTGAGAGAATGATAAGAAAAGCAGCCTTATTCAGTGGGTGCAGCTGGAGAGTGATTTGCCATGTCCAGTGGTGAAGCCCAGCAGAAGATTCCGAAGAAAACCATGGAAGGGCAGGAAAAAGACGCTCCAAGGGATGAATGATGAAAGATGAATCTGCCCAAAATGTATGGGCCAGTACAGCCCTCTCCTGGCTGGTGTCCTGTTTAAGTACGTTTGCTCTTCACCAAATTTTAGCCAGTTTTTCTTGATCAACATAGGGAGAAATGATTCCCTCTCTCGACTACCTCAGAGGAACAGAGGAAAGACAGAGCCACTCAGAGCTGAAAGTAAGTGGGTGCGCCTTGGTGCGCAGCTCTGGCAAGATCTGGCTGAGCTGCAGCAAAAGCCAGCAGGGAGCTATTTAAAGAGCTAGCAGGGACCTGGGTTGCCATCGGACAGTACCCATAAAATTGTTAAATTACTTTCACCTCTGGGGCAATTCCGGAAAATGGCTTTATATTGCAGGATGCTTATAAGGGGTAAACCCTCAGCCCCGTCAAGCCTGGTTAACAGAGTACAGATAGGGCCTGTGTCTTTCATTCTCTGAATGGGTAGAATGGTGAGTAAAATAGAGGCAGGCCTGCTGACTGGAGACTGGGGGAACAAACAGGGGCAACTGTGCCGGGGCCTAATGATTCAAAAAGACCTGGGACTCTAAGCCACTGCTACTGTAGCAGCAGCAGCAGCCGGAGCCCAAAGACCTTTAAATCATGTGGCATGCTCCAGGTGGCACTGAGGGATGCCTTTGGGACGGAAGCCCCAGTCCTGCCCCTTCCACCCAAGACCCTGCCCTTTCCATGGGCATGGAGCTGGGAACCCACCCTCCTTCTCCAGCCTGCCTTGCTGAGGGTCCTGGTGAGTGTGTCAGCCCCACTGAATGAAGGAAATACAGCATTGCAGCCTTCCTTTCTGTCTCTTCTCATTTGCATTTAAAGCTCCATTTTCCTACTACTTCACATTGCCTGGTAATGTATATATTTACAAAACACCCTTGGCCTTTCGTGGGAGTAACTGGGAAGGAAAGATGGTCCGGGGTACATCTACACAGCAACATTATTCCAAAATAACTACCTTTACTTCCAAATAACTTAGTCCACGTCTACACAGCAGGCAGTTATTTTGAAATAATGTCGAAATACTATCAAGCCAGAGGACTTCTTACTCCTGTAACCCTCATTGTATGAGGAATAATGAAAGTCGGAGGAAGAGTGCTCTATTGCGAAATAAGTGCTGTGTAGATGCTCCCATTTTGAAATAAGCTATTTCAAAATAAGTTACGCAATTGACATAGCTCAATTTGTGTAGCTTATTATGAGTTAAGTCCTGCTGTGTAGACGCACCCCTAGTGATTAGGACACTACTCTTGTTCGGAAAAGACAGGGTTCTATGCCTTAGTCTGTCACAGACTTCCTGTGTGACATTGGGCTAGGCACTTAGGGTACCCTGTGTACCTCTTAGGGAACATCTACACAGCAACGTAGCTAGTGTTATTTCAAAATAACTTAGTCCACGCCTACACAGTGGGCAGTTATTTCGAAATAATGTTGAAATACTGTCAAGCTGAAGAACTTCTTATTGTATGTGTGAAAGTAGAAAGAATTATATTGTAAGAGAAAAATGAATTATACTGTAATACTAGAATAAGTTCGAGGAATGCTGTTTGTCCCTGAACAGGAAATAGAAGATTATGTTAATGTTATTTGTAGGTATGCAGAATGGATCAGAGTGGAGCCAGGTGTATCTGGGATAACAGGAAAAGGAACGTTAGGTGTTAGACAGAAAGTAATTGAGATAACCAGCGAGATATGGACAGGAGATTGCTGAGGCTTGATATGGAAATGAAGATATGTGACTAGTCTCATGGGAATCATGTGAAGTTTTGCCCCCTTTTGTAATCTTGTTAATTTTGCTTTCTTTTGTCTGTATAAATCAAAGGGTTTGAGCCTTGTAGGGTGCTCACATTTTCTGGGTGTATTAGCAGAGCTGCTTTGCTAATAAACAAAGTGGTCTGACAAATTTGTGAGTCAGACACGTCTACAATTGATGTAGCTCAATTTGCGTAGCTTATTTCGAGTTAAGACCTGCTGTGTAGACGCACTTAGTCAAGGTATGTCTACACCCCAAAAAACACCCACAAGAGCAAGTCTCGGTGTCCAGGTCTACAGTCTCAGGCTGATGCTCTGGTGCAGACATTCTTGCTTGGACTATGAGACTCACCTTCCCCACCAGGTTTGGGAACCTGAGCAGGAAAATTTATATCATTGTTTCTAGCACTGTCACACAAGCCTGAGTCTATAGACCCAAGCTCAGAGACTCACTGACACAGTTTTGTTTTGTTTCTGTGTAGACATAGTTTCTGTGTTTCAGCTCCCCATCTATAAAGCATCAAGCCTCTTCCTCACAGGGGTGCTAAGAAGTTAAATACATTAAAAACGGTGGCACTCAGATACTGCAGTATAGAAATCTGTTTTCAAATACCACACCCCCAGTCTGTGACTCACTGAGCTAGTCATAAAGGTGAGGTAGGAGGAAATCAGGGAAATTCCTTCCTGGGCTGTTTGTTTAAAATTTCTTAGGGTACATCTACATAGCACAGATATTTTGGGATACGGAGGTATCCTGAAATAGCTACCCCGTCTTAGAAATGCGCCCGTTATTTTGAAATATTTTTTGCAGGTGTGCTATTTCACCATCCCTGTAAACCTCGTTTCATGAGGGTTAAGAGATGGCTCAAAATAGCACATTACTTTGAAATTTGGCACTGTGTAGACTACACCAAATTTCGAAATAGCCTATTTCAAAATAGACTCAAAATAAGATAAGCAATTTGCATAGCACAAATTGCAGATCTTATTTTGAGTTTAGGGTGTGATGTAGACTCACCCATAAAGTGCTTAACAGCTATAGAGGTGCTGATGCAAATGGAGTCGATCTTTTCCTCTCTCCTGCTTTGTCTGTTTCTTTGTCTTTCTCGGTTTTTTTCTTTTCATTCATTTCAGAGCTCCACATGGTCTCCTTTCCCATCTCCTTTCTGTCTGCCCCAGGCCCTCCTTCTCCCCAACTCTCATATACACACAAGACCAGATTTTCAAGTGTTCACCATCCATAAATGGGGCCAACTTTTTAAAAGAACACATTTTCCATTTAGTCATCTAAATAAGAGACAGATTTGCAAAAGCACCTAGCGTAGTGCAGATACTGTAGCAACACAAGGAGGTCTCCCCCCAACCCCCACCACCAAAAAAAAAAATCTAACCATTTCTTTTGGTGCCTACACAGAAGATGAGCTTGTCTGAGAACTTGGACCTTGGTGAATCACTCTGGAAGGGCCCCAAGAAGAGTCCAAATGATTAAAGATGACAAACAGCAGGAAAGAGATATGTAACAGAAGAGAAGTTAGAAAATGCATCTCCTACCTGGCTGATTATACACTGTCCCCAGATCTACCTTAAAGGAGCCAATCAATATGCTCCCAATCAGCTTGTTGTGCATGACCTGTTGAAGAAAGGCACATTGAAGTGTGACACCAGATTCTCCTCTATTCAATATATGAAGCAGCATACCATACAAATATATTTGACATAGATGACAAAAGCAACCAGTGTGGATGATACTGAGCAATTGATATAGACATCTTAGTCCTGGTCAATTTTTGTGCTACTTTAATTGTATGAGTTTAGAAACCAATATAGTTAAAATCAGTGGAATCCTCTAGTTTGGATGCAGTTATACCAATATAAGACTACTTATAAATGTCCATTTAAACACACAAGAAGGAGATAAGCAGTTTTATACTGGAGTAATGTCACTGACACTAAGGCTATGTCTAGACTGCAGGCTTCTTTCGAAAGAGGCTCTTTCGAAAGATCGCGTCTAGACTGCAGGCGGATCTTTCGAAAGAGAAATCCGCTTTTTCGAAAGAGAGCACCCAGCGAGTCTGGATGCTCTCTTTCGAAGACGGCCTCTTTACATTGAAGAACGCCTTCTTTCGAAAGAGGAACTTTCGAAAGAAGGCGTTCTTCCTCGTGAAATGAGGTTTACCGCCATCGAAAGAAAAGCCGCGTTCTTTCTAAATAATTTCGAAAGAACGCGGCTTGAGTCTGGACGCAGGGGAAGTTTTTTCGGGAAAAGGCTACTTTTCCCGAAAAAACCCCTGAGTCTGGACATGGCCTAAGGGATATGCCTCTTTAACTATATTAGTTTCTAAACCAATAGTTAAATTGGTACAAAAACTGTGCATAAACAGAGGAAAAGGAATTACATTATCACTTTCCAGTGTTTCAATATGTAGTTGGGTCCATAGGACACTTGATCCATCCTTCCAGGTTAAGAATTCAACACCCATGCAATCATTCCTCCTCACGTCTGGTTTTCAAATCCCTGTGTGTTATACCACTTGTGACAAGCAGGCTTCAGGCCAGAAGCATTTTCTTGTCATGGAGTTGGAAGAAAAGTTGTGTGAACTTGTTGTTATGAAACAAATCTCACATGATTTCAGGTTCCATTAAAAAATTGGAATTCAATCCATGTTTAAGAAAAGATTCACCTGGTCTAGAAGACCTTTCAGACAAATTTTGGGCAGAGATGGGCCTGAAACTAAAATCTATCTGAATTCACAGTTCATGTTTCTAGAACAGCCAAATCCACATACTATAAACTTGGGAAGAATTCAAATTTGGATCTGGATTTTTTAGACACAGATATAGGACTGGAAATCAGGGATTTGTTTGGATCTGTCATGGGGAAGCTAGACCACGAGTCTCTTCTTAAATCACACGACTTGTACCCAAAGATCACATGATTAGAGTCTTCAGCAAGGCCTTCTGGGAAACTGCTAGACCATGAGTCTCTTCTTAAATCACATGACTTGTACCCAAAGATCACATGATTATAGTCTTCAGCAAGGCCTTCTGGGAAACTGAGACAGCAGCCAACAATGCAAAACCAGACAAATCACTACTCTAGCGTCCATCTAATTTAAAAAAAATCTGAGTTAAAATAGGCTTTGGGATGGAAAGATGCCATGACAACAGAATGGTTTCATCTTGAAGCCAGGGAAACCAGCATCTTTGGATGACCTGGACTTTGACTCTGTGACTGCAGTAGGAGTGTGAAACCACAGAAACCAAACTGGCAGCCCCATCGCACATACACTTCCACAAGTGCTGCGCAACCAAAACCACATTGTTTCATAAAGGTTTAGTCTGAGTGAGAGAGGAATCTGTGACAGAGAAAGTTCAGGGCAGGGTCCAATTCTCTCATTGCTCTCCTTTTATTTTTTTCTCCCTTCTTTAGAGTCTGAGTGGATATTCAGGGATAGCCCCATGTGAAAACTATACTTTGTAGGCATATAGAGGCCTCCTTGTGTGAAGTGTGATGCATCCCTCTGAGATTCTGAATGTTCTCTATTCCCACTGAAGTACCACAGGACTCCACTCCTTGCAGGATGGGGCTCTTAAATGGACAAGGAAAAAAGGTAACAAACAGCACTTGTGTATGTAGTACTTATGTGTGCATATATTTTAACTCTTATTTTTTAAGTTTTCCCTGCTATGCAAGCCTCCCCCCAGCCTTGCTCCCCACCCAGATGCAGGAAAGCCGGCAAGTTTGAAGTTTCCAATCAAACTTTTCTTCTTTTCTCTACGGGAGGGAAGAAAGCACAATAATGATCTCAACAGCTAAAAAACCCCATGGTGGATTTTTTCCACAACCAGTGAACTCAAAAAATAACTGAAGGGGTTTTCTTCAAACTTTCCAGCTGAGAAGGAGCAGGAGAAATGACAGCATGAAATGTAACTGAGTCCTGGGGATAGAATGAAAGTAGAGTCTGTTATGCCTTCAGCATTGCAGAGATGTTACCATAATGTGTCTGAAGATGTTAATGAAGAGGAAATGTATTCGTTTTTTAGGGCTTGGAAGACAGAAAAGGCCCATTTTCCCCCAAGAACAGGAATTGATTGAATGGCAGTTTAACTGCTGGACTGATACATGGCAGTGATGGTACATTACTTGCTTTCCTTAGGCTTCTAAACACAGGTGTATCCATTTCCAGGATAATATGGATTCAGTGTGCAAGTGATAAATAGTCCTGAAGGCTGTTAAACTTTACTTCTCCTCGGGCTAGCTACCCACCAAGCAAATGCAGGAAGTTTTCCATCCCCTTTGGTGCTGTTTCTTGCCAAGACACTTATTTTCTCACTGATCCAATTTTATTCCCTTGTATTTTTCTAAAGCTATGTTCCAAGATAACTAAAATGAATTAACACACATTAGCATTGCATTGGATTAGCATTTCCTTTATGAATGCCATGTTTTGTTTATGATCTAGTCATTAAGACTGTGGGGCTAAATCCCCTCCGGCCTAAGTCAAGTATCTCCACTGAATTCAGTGCAACTAGGTCAGTTTGTACCAGCTAAGGGAGTAGCCCATTTTCTCTGCCCTCAATCCAGATGCTGACAAATGGCTAAGATTCTCAAGAAAAACTTAATCAGAAAGGTTAATCATGGAAGTAAAACAACAGACTTTTTTTTACCAAGTGAAGGCTTGTTGTAAGTATAGTATAATTCAAAGAAAGAGATTCAGTGGGGAGAAAAAATGAATAAGCAAACTATTGATTTGAAATGCTCTGATTATTTTTGTATCTTTTAAATACATGTAGATAAACATATAGCATTTGAATGGAAGAATTATTTCTCTTGAGAAAATATCCATTCTTCACATACAGCAAGTATTTTACAAAGAACTAATTGCATGCTCTATGAGTTTGACCCTGGAAACATCAGTTGGAGAGCACCAGGCCCAAAACATGCTTGCAATTGGGGTTGAAATACACATCTATGTGAAAGGCCAGCTAGGCGGCATATGCACTAGTTCAACCCCAAAGAATCTTTATATTAAGGATGTAAGTGGACCTAGTGCTATTGTTCTGCATAAGGTGAATTATACCCTTATATGCTGAGCTATATGAGCAAACACCAGAAGAGTAGGTAACTTAGAATATAAACCAAAATTTGCTAACACAATTGACTTGCTGGGCCTCCAACTGTCCATTCATACATTAAAATACCCACTTTGTGCATCCAACTAAGATAACTGCACTTCTGATGGTATAAAAATTGAGAGTGGATCTTGGTCCTTCAAATGCATAGTGAACCTCTCTATGAATCCTACAACAACAGTTTGTGTATGGATGGATCCGTATGACTCTTATGCAGCAGCCATCTGGTTCTGCCAGTCAAGTGCAAGTCCTGTTCTCATCAAAGCTGATTATTTGCTATAAATGGCCAAAGTCAGAGCTGTTCTTATCCATATGCGGAATTCACCATTGTGTAGGGCACCTGAAAATTTGGCATACCAATGAGTCTTAATGTCCATGCAGCTGCCTCTTCCTAGTCCTGTTCTGTGGCTCTGCGTCCTCTGAAGAGGATCTGGTTAACTTAAAAGAGAAAAAGCCTGCCAGACCTATTGGCAGAACACTCACTCTGGGTATGTCTACACTACCACCCTAGTTTGAACTACGGTGGTTAATGTAGTCAATCGAAGTTGCAAATGAAGCCCTGGATTTAAATATCCCGGGCTTCATTTGCATCTTGCCGGGCGCCGCCATTTTTAAATCACCGGTAGTTCAGACTCCATGCCCGCGGCTACACGCTGCACGGAGTAGGTAGTTTGAATTAGGCTTTCTAATTCGAACTACCGTTACACCTCGTGGAATGAGATCCTAATTAGAACTACCTACTCTGTACTGCGTGTAGCTGTGGGCACGGAGTCTGAACTACCAGGGATTTAAAAATGGCGGCGCCTGGCAAGATGCAAATGAAGCCCAGGATATTTAAATCCAGGGCTTCATTTGCAACTTCGATTGACTACATTAACGACCCTAGTTCGAACCAGGGTGGTAGTGTAAACATACCCTCTGTGAAAGAGCCAATCAAGTGGTAAAGAAGCCATTTAACAGGCATTTGCCAAACCCCGGTATATACTGTCAGTTTCTAAATTTACTGTGTTAGTTCTACAGGACCTTAGTTTAAAATTTGCTATAAAATATTTTATTAGTGTGTTGCTGAAGATTATAAAATCACATCTCTAAAAAATTGTTAGCCCTTCCCCTCTTAGGCTGCCATTGGGAATAAGGGCATCAGTTTACTAGTACTGTGTAGGACCCCATAAATCCCAAGGACAGCCCTGGGAAAAGAGCTTTATAAAATAATAGATACCTACCCCAGTACCTTGAACCATTGCTCATTTCTCTGACCAACTGCAAACTGAACCATTTTTAATGGGTTTGAAATGTTTGGATGTAAGGCTGGGACTGAAAGCAGGACTGCTGAAATATTAAATGAGAGGCAAGGCTTGTAATATTTCTAGATACAAGTGGCACAGTCCCAGATCTCTTTGACAATTCTTGCTCAAGCTCTAGCCCAGTTTTAGGTGTGGAAAAGGCTTAGGATATGCAGATAGGACCGGATGATCTGCTTGAGTAGACCATTGTATCTCCACAGAAGACTGAAGACTTGTTCCTAAACTATAGACATTTGTCCAACCCTCAAAACCAACACCCACTTAGATAGTCTCATCATCTTGGGCTTCTATAGGAAACAGATGTGCCATTGTCTTTCCATTTGCTTGTGTGAAACATTTTTCTGTGGGGAAAGTGCAAATTAGGTCTCTACCAGTTTTACATTTTAAATCTCTCAATCCTATGAGAACACAAACACAGTCCCTACAGTATATTTTAAATGCTTCTTCAACCCTAAAATCAACTATTTTAGGAATATATTCCTGCAGAGATTATCAATTAATTCAGAACAATATGGCTTTCCCTAGATGCATGAAACCAGCTTTGACAAAATCAGTATCTGTATGCTTGCTCATTTCAGCATTCAAAGCAAGGCTGATTGGGATAGTTGGATTGTTCACAGGGGTTTGACCGCAGCAGAATTAATACAGTGCTGTACATGGGAACTGAATTTATATGTGGGTTCTTTTCTCTCCTGAATAATAAGAAACAATTAAAATGCTAGGATTATCTTAGCACTGGTATTGCTTATGTCTAAAAACAGCTTTCAAATTGGAACTTGGGTTGCATCTGAAGAAATGAGATAAGCCAAAAAAACAAAAGTTTCTGCTCAGTAAACTGAAAAAACCTGATGTGAAGGTTGAAAATTAAACAGATGAAAGTAACACTGAGGGATCCAGTAACATTGAGTGAAATTCATCCTTTACGGCAATGTTTCTCAAAGTGGGCTGTAGGGGTTATACCACTTCCTGTAGCTCCCCTTGTCTGGAAATGGCAAACTGCAGTCAATGGAAGCTACGAGGCTCCGTGGCTATGGACACTTTCGATAAAGCATCTTGTGGCCCACCAGTGGCTTACCAGACTATGCCCACAGCCCACTTTGAAAAACACTGCTGTACAGACAGCCAAAGTGAAGTCAATGTACCACTCCAATATCCTACCAAGTAAAACACTGTTCACTAGTTCACTAGTTTATAATTTACTTTTGAAATACTTAAATTCAAAATAATTTATTTTAATTTTGAAATACTGATGTACTGGTGTTAGTACTCTTCTTCTCTATTTCCTGCTAAAAGTTTTTATCTGCCTCTTTTAACTACTCAGTCTTTTGGTGCTTATGACTATTTGTTTTTCCTGTTACCTTCCAGCTCGCTTTCCCCTTGATATTTTTATACCCACTTCCTCTTCTTGTTTCCCCCCTCCCTTCTCCCCTGTTTATTTCTGTTCTGCACATCCAACACTCTGGTCATCCAAAGAAGTGGGTTGTGCCCACGAAAGCTCCTGATACCATCTACATGTTTTGTTAGTCTTTAAAGTGCTACCAGACTATTTGTTGTTTTTTAAGTTTATTTTGAAAAGATGTCCATGAAAATTCACACCGAATCTTGCTGTAGGGTTGTTACATTATTACCAGTTGCCATTTTTTCCTTTTCACACCCCTCATTTCTCCTTACTGCACATAGTTTCAACCTCATAGTACTACTGGCATCTAAAACAAAATTTTCTGTTTTTACAAACACTGTTAGGCCTAATATAACACCCACCACCAAATATTTGATCCCGTTTAATAAAATAGCACTAAAACTTTCCAGAATACTTACAGAGATTTTAATAATTTTGTCAAACAAATGCACTTGAGGTCCAATGAAGTCAAACACAAAATACTGTGGAAAAACAAAATTGCAGATTAGTATTGTCTTATGCTGTCATTAGCAAGCATTCAGTTTGAAGTTCTGGCCTAATCGAATATACTTCAACGTATGTTTCTGACTATATTCAAACAGATGCTACATTTAAGAGCTATAAAGGCAAAGGGTAGAGGCAGAAAAGATAGGAAGCCCAGAAGAAGGGCCACTTTAGAAGTTATTTTATCAAACTTCTTGTATGACTTGCAAAAGCAAGTGTTGGGGCTATTTGAACTTGGAGATAGTGATGATGGGTTGGGGAACTAGGCTGGGAAAGAATGAGGGATGAAGTGGTAACAGGCAGAGGATGAATGAGACACTGTAAGTAGCATCCTTAGCAGAGAGGGACCATGAAAAGAGAGACTGAGAGGTACAGAATGGAGCACAGTGGTCACTTCCATACTTTAAATGTAAACAGCTTGCTGACAAACTTCACTTGTCAGAGAGATTACACTGTTTTAGCTATTAATCTTTAGTCACTCTACTGTGAACAGTCACCATTCTGCAAACCATTTCAAGCCACTTCCCAACTGCAAGGTACATACTTCATTGTAAAACGGAGCATTTGTGCCTTCTTTGACTGTTGTTTGTTTCTTTTCATCTCCAATCTCTATGATTACCACTGGATCAATATTCTCACCAACTAATTGCCGGGCTTCAATTATGGTTATCGCAATCTGCAGGGCACAAATACAACACATGCACAAAAACAGTCTCAGATTCAGTTATTTTAATTAGCATAAATAATGTTGCTATAAATATGTGCACTCTTGTTCACTCACCTGATAATTCTGGGATTTTATGTCGTCTTCGTGAACCTTGCACACCAGTTTTGCTCTGTTTAAATTAGAACAGAACATTATGCATCAGCCATCAAGAGCGTGACTTTCTTAGTTCTTTGACACATGCTCAAGAGATGTGTTTAATACTATTTTTCTTGAAAGTACTATTTTTAGTAGCCAGTTTTGAGACAGGCTACTTGATTTGATGCCATCAGCGGTCACTTCAAATGTAAGCCTTTAGATATTTCTTGAGGATAATGAAACTGAGTATTTCCAGCTCTCCCAGAAACAGCTTTGTGTATGTCTTCAACTTTTACAAAATGCTTATATGAAAATGCAAAGGGGGAATTAATACGAGGAACTGAAGTTTTCTGTCTGATTCTTATCTAGTTTGTAGATTCATAGATTTTTAAGGCTGGAAGGGACCATGAGGATCATTTAACCTGACCTCCTGAATAAAACAGGACTTGATATTTCTAACTTCATCAGATGTATGTGTAGGTATGTCCTGTACATTTATATATGTAGACCCTGCTTACTTTGAGTGGCACTCTGCCCCCCTCTAGTGGCTGTACTACAGGCTTGGCTAACAGAGGCATGTCTTTTAGTTCAGGCGATAAAGGCTCATGCCTTTACTCCAAAGGTCCCAGGTTTGATTCCCATGTGGGTCAGCATTTCCTCAGACACAGGACTCTTAGCCCAGGCTGTAGTAGGCTCATCAGTCTCTAGCGGACCTAATCATCATGAGAGGGGGACACAATATGACTCTGAGCAAGCAGGGATTACATTTATGTAAAGTAACTCTGCACACATAGAGTTATATAGCTATCGATACATAACATATATAAATACAGGTTCTAATACAATGCTCTCTGAAGTAAATGAAAGGCTTCTGTGGGACTTGCATCAGAATCACATTTTTCCCAGATGATCAACCATGGCATCTCTCAAGACTCCTGTCCTCTTTCTCTAACTTTCGTTAACAGCTTAGTTCTGGTTCTCCCTCCATTACTCACACTGTGCGGTGACCTGCATCTGGTGACAATCATAATATACCATGTGCAGAAGGTGAGAGACCAATAATTTCAGCAAGTTCATATTCTAACCTCTGGATCTGCTGTCAACAATAGTGCTGTCATACAGAAGAACAGGATGGGGTATAACAAGAAACGTTAGCACTGCAGCAAAGTACCTTTTCCTCTGCGGCCCTGTAGGTGCAAAACCACTGTAAGATGCAGCATCATCATACATCAAATCACTCTCTCCCTCTTCTTGTCCTCCAGATATCTCATGGTGAACATTCCCACTATCATCGTGGTCACCTGATTAACAAACAAATAAAGGAAATATGGACTCATAGAATCAGAAGAGTGTATGGCTGTAAGGGACCCTGTGAGGTCCTCTTGTCCATTCTTCTGCACTGAGGTACTACCTAACATAGCTAGACCATCTCTGACAGGTGTTTAACCTGTTCTTGAAAACCTCTAATGATGGGGATTCTACAACCCCATTTGTCACATTTTCCCCCTCATATCTAACCTAAATCTCCCTTGTTTCAGATTAAGCCAATTACATCTTGTCCTATCTTAAATGGACATGAAAACCAACTGATCACTACCCCCTTTCTAACAGCCCTTCACCTGTTTGAAGACTGTTATCAGGTTCCCTCTCATCAGTCTTCTTTTCTCAAGATTAAACAAACCCAGGTTTTTTAACCATCCTCACGGATCAGGTTTTCTACATTTTTTTTTATCATTAGTGTTGCTCTTCTCTGGATTCTCCAGGTTGCCCACATGGCCATCTTTTTCAAGGTTGGTGCCCCAAATTGGACACAATACTCTGCTGAAGCCTCACCAGTGCCAAGCAGAATGGAACAATTACCTCCAACTTCTTACATATAACATTCCTGTTAATACATCCCGGAATTATATTAGTTTGGGGGCGAGGGGTTGCAACTGCAATACATTTTGGGCTCATTTTCCATTTGTGATCTACTATAATTCCAAGATGGTTTCAGCAGTACTACTGCCTGCACAGTTATTCCCCACTCTCTAGTTATGCATTTGATTTTTCCGTCTTAAGTGTCGGACTTTGCACTTTTCTTTACGAATTTCATTTTGTTGATTTCTAATCAATTCTCTGATTTATCTAGATAATTTTGAGTTCCGATCCAGTGTCCCGCGTTGCTTGCAACTCTTCCTTGCATGGTATCATCTGCAAAACTTATAAACATGTTCTCCACTCCATTTGCTGAGTCATTCATGAAAATATTGAATAATACAGGTTGGACCTCCCTGGTCTGGCACTGTCAGGACCTGACCGGTCCTGAACGAGAGAATTTGCCAGATCAGGGATGGTGTCCTGTCACTGGCCTCAAGCCCCATCACCCCAGCAAGCACCGTGCCTTGCCCTTCCTTCCTCCCTACCTGTCTGGGCTGCTTGCCCAGCTGCTGCCCACTCCTTGGGCAGCACAGTCTCCGGCTCCTGCCTCTGGGATCCAGCCCTGTGCATCCAGGGGCAGCCGCGGGGCTTTGGCTCCCCCAGATCTGTGCTCCAGCAGGTTTCTGCAGGGCTCTGGCCCCATGCTCCAGCAAGCTGCTGCAGGGCTCTGGCCCCGTGCTCCAGCAAGCTGCTGCGTGGCTCTTGCCACTCTAACAGGCTGCTGAGAGTCTGTGGCCATGTGATGCCACAGGGCTCAACTCCAGCCCTATGTTCTCAGGGGCTGCTGCAGTGTCTTGGCCCTGCACTCCTGGTATGTGCCAAGAAACTCTGGCCCTACACTGACTCATGCTGCTGGGAGACTCCAGCCTGGCCCTGCACTTCTAAAGGCTGCCACGGGGCTCCAGGAGGTCCTTTCTGCCCTTGGGTTCCTGGGCTATCTGGTGCAGGAGCATCTCTGGTCCTGCTAGATGAAGGATGTTGCTGGACCAGAGAGTGCCGGTTTTTGGAGGTACAACCTGTACTGGACCCAGGAATGATCCATGCAAGACCTCACTAGATATGTGCTCCTAATTTAACAATGAACTAATAGCTAATCTTTGACTGCAGTTGTTCAATCAGCCATCTCATAGTAACTGCATTGTTTAAGAGAATTTTAAGTGGGACTCTGTCAAAAGTTTTAATACCTACAATCAAAGTATATTACATCTATTGCTTCCTCCCCTCCTCCCGATTCACTAGGCCATAATCCTATTAAAAGAAGGAAATTAGGTTAGCTTAGAATGATTTGTTTTGGATATATCCATGTTGGCTACTTCTTATTCCCCTTTTGTCCTCTAAGTGACTGTAAATTTACTGTATGATAATTTGTTCCAGTATTTTTCCAAGTATCATAGTCAGGCGGATTGGTCTATAACTCCCTGGGCTTCTTTATTCTCCTTTTGAAAGATAAGTACTAGGCTTACACTTCTCCAGTCCTTTGGGGCCCATCTTCCAGGCGTTCTCAAAGATAATTGCTAACTGTTCCAAGATTGCTTCAACTAGTACATTAGGGTGAATTTCATCAGGCCCCACCAACTTGAATATATCTAATTTATCTAAATATTCTTTAACCTGCTCTTTTCCTATTCTGGTTTTTGTTCCTGCACCCTTTTTGTTGATATTAGTTGCATTAAATGTCTGCTCATAATTAGCTTTTTCTAATGAAGACCAGTGTTCCCTCTAATTTTTTTCCATATATGAGCAGAATAAATTTTGTTATGTGCACGAAAGCATGCACATATGTACCCCACCAGTGGAAACACATGCTGCTGGCTGTGGTCAGTGAGGGTGCTAATCAGCTGGGTGGCATTTGAAACTCTTCTGGGTGGCCTCCTAAACACTCCGCTTACTGGGAACACTGAAGACCAAAGCAAAACAGGAGTTAAACAACTCCACCTTCTTGGTGTTATCGGTTCCTAGCACTCCTTCCCTGCTATGTGGGGTACCTACATTTTCCTTCATCCTTTTCTTGAAGGTTTCTGATTTCTTCTTCCAAAAATACAGTAATGAACAAAACACTGTTTCCAGCAGGGAGTTTAATCCCCATGTGCTCTGAAGCCTGAACTGGCTTCCAATTCAAGCTTTAATCAATGCTGACTCTCTTACAGACTGAATCCCTCTGTATCCTCTGCCATTAAGGCCAGCCAGAGCACTCAGGCTAACAACTCCTAGATGTAAATGTGAAAAAGTGGTAACTGAGCTATTTACAGTGAAGATCCATCAGCTCTGAAATGTTCTCCCAGCCTGTGTGCACTTGGCCTGGCAGAACCCCCTAGTCTGCTATTTGTTGTGGCACATAGCAAAGCAGTCTGTACAGGCTGCCCCCAGGAGACAGGAGTAGGGGAGGAGTGAGTGAGCTGTGAGTGTGGGGTGATTCTGAAGGATTTGGGGTGATTCTGAAGGATCATTATGCAAACATAGGAAATATTGCAGTTCAGTGGCCTTAATATGAACCCAAAACAGCAAGTATCCAAAACAATAAGGCCATTGAAGTTGGCTGCCCATTCGAAACACTCTAAAGGTGTCCCCCATTGGGCATCCAAAAACTGATGCACCCCCAATCAGAGGCCATTTTGAAAGTTTCCTTTAAATTCTGTGTGTCTCCATGTGCAAAATGGAGGTGCTAATCGTAAGTCCCTCCCTCCCTGCTGCCACTGATGCGTGAGAGGCACTCGGCAGTAAGTTGACGAGAGCCACAGAAAAGCCTATAAATACATGGGTAGGAAAACTTGGCCAGGAAGCCATCTTCAGAAACATTGGCATGGTTCTGATTGAAATCAATGGTTCAGCCTCATCTGGCATAAATGCATTGCCCCATTAGGTTCAGCCAAGGCCATCCCTACCGATACTAGTGTCCTACACAGTCGTGCACCAGTACCCTCCTGGGGGTAGCTGAAGCTGTGGGGGAGCAGGATTGCAAACTCTCCCAGACCAGATGCCATTTACTATAGTGACATCCAGTCAGAGAGTTGGTAACCTGGACCAAGGCAAGGAAGGGGAGGCCAGAGGAGCAGGCAGCCATGCAGCCAGCCAAAGAGAAGCAGCACGTTTAGGGGGAAAGCAACGTTTCTCTCCAGTCACCTGCTGCATGGCTGCCCCTTGCTCAGTCCTCCAGCCTGAAAGGGCCACTCGCCTCTGACTAGAGAATCGGGGTTGGTTGCTGAGCCCTAGGGTGCGGCTGGAAGATGGATTGGGGGGCAGCCACATCGTCACTGAGCTGGGGGGGAGGGGGGAGCTGAAGGATGGAGGCAGTCTGTGTCCATAGGCATCAGCTTGCAGCTACATAAGGCCCCATGAAATCTGGGGCACTCTGGTGCCTCAAATATTGTAGTGCCTTACGTGGCTGCATGTTTTGCCTTGTGGTAGGGATGGCCCTGAGTCCAGCTACACTGATTTAGCCCCAAGGGTTTCTCTGTGCATTTTGCTTTTGTTCTGCTTTTGCTGTCTCATGATCACTGCTCATATCCTATTTACTCTAGCATGTGGTGTTTGATTACTACATTTTATTGCTTTACTATATTTACTTTGTAGGTTGAAACACTCAGAATTCTTTTCCAGCTGGGAACGGCCATGTGACAGAATTATATAATGTCAAGAAAAATCTTTTCCATTTAAATTTATCAATACAAAATCTAAAATAATTTTGTAATGATTTTCTTTATGCCATCTATTATCTTGATATCTGAGCGGATATTTTGGGGACTTCTACATAGTCCCTGCAATAACAAAGGACTCCTTCCTTTTACTAATCAGTCACAAATGTCACATTGTGTGAATCCACCAATAGAAAATAAACATGATACAATTAGTGGAACATAATCCATGGGTGTCCTCTTGCTTTGATATATCTTGTGAGCTCCAGCAGAAGACAATATCCTCAATCAGAACAGAGAGAGAACCTACTGTCTTGTTAAGAGATTTCTCCCATAGTCCAGATGTTTAGTAATCAAAGGCACTAATGATGCTCATGTAGTTGCAACAAAGTGATGTAGATATCTCTAATGGCAGAATCTGCTGTATTGAACAGTTGCTGAAACATGAGTACATGGAAAAGTGCAGCACATTTCAGTAATGAAGCAATGTAACACATTGTAAAAGAATAGGACCACGCAGGAACGTAGTGGTTATTGTTAAGCTGCACACAATGTTCCCTCAGAACTACATGGCAGTAGTATAGATAGAAGTCAAATCTTCCTGATCCAAAAGCTTAAGCTCTTGCCAGGTGAAGTAAAGGAGAATTGCCTTTGGTGTAGCATCTGTTAGCAATATAATGTCTATGACACACAGTTAAGTATTTCTGTTTCTGTGCAATTGAGGGTCAGTCATGGTATACATACATACCAGGAACTTCTCTACTGTATTAGAATTCATAGACTGCAGTAAACACACCGTAACCCATGTTTTAAAAGACTTTGTGTAATTCCAGGCATGACCTCACACCTAGGATTTATGAGACCTAACTAACCCCTTCTGTACAAGACAGCTGCTGGGGTGGTGGAGGTGAAAGGGAAAACTGGAGGAACAGGAGAGTAAAGCAGTGGGGAACGACACCTAGGAGCATCTCGTGATTTTGGAAGAGGGAAGTGCAGCAGGAAATGGAGAAATAGGAACCTGGGTAAATTATGGGTGCAAGATCCAAGTATTAGATAAAAATGTAAAAATATTTAAAATTCCTGGACTCATGGGTGTCAGGAGGGGGTGCCAGGAGGGTCACCCACAGGGGCAAAGAGAGGGCATGGGGGCACCCCATTTAGAAATTAAAAATGTGATGGGTGTAAAGGGGAGCATTGCACTTCCCAAGTGCTACAAGTCACCTGACTGGGCTTTAATTCTATTCTCAGGCTTCTGACAATCACAACCACTAAGTTTTTGCTCTTGTGATTTACAACTTCTGGATGGAATCATAGTCCTGGATGGAAATCAAAATTGCCTGTAACTTAATCAATATGTATCTAGATTGAACATTCCCTTATTTAGTGCTTCCCTAAAGGAAAAATGGTTTTGACCATTTATTTCTATAATACAAGACTAATTTCAGATGCTGTAATCTGCATTCATATGATTGTTCACTGGTTGTAACCGAAGAGTTAGCCTGTAGGAGTAGGGGGTGTGTTTATATTTAGTTAGGACTGATAATGAACTTACTGCCCATTTTATCGTTTCTTAAACCAATAGTTGTAAGGCTCAATTCAAATGATTTTACAGATGAAGTTGGGGATAAAATAATCTCACCCTTGTTCTCTTTTCTAACCAGGTGTAATATTGATTTACTAGGCCTTACCTAGTGCACCTTTGTTTTCAATAGTTAACCCTTTCTCGCCTTTTTTCTTCTTCTTCAGCTTTATGCCAGCAAGCAGCCCCTTTCTGAAAAAGAAGTTACAAAAATTATAGCAATGTAGCTCCAAGTTTTGTTCTACACAGAAGTCAATTTCATTTAAGAAGCTGTTCATAGGGAATATTAATATCCAAGTAAGATTGTGTGTATTCAGTTCCCTCCCTCTTGAAAAAAAAAGTAATAAAGGCAAACAAGGAAACTTTCTATTATGTTTTTGTGCCTTATTCTGCTGTTATTCTATTTTCAAACTTAAAAACATACAGAGCAATATATTTATTCATTTGCTTCTTATAGAATGTTCTTGTAACTTTACTTCAAACTAAGGCAACCGATCAGAGGTAAAGAAAGAAAAAACAAGCTAAGCTTCTATTTCTATTGACTTCCCACACAGCATAATTACTGAGAAATGATAAGACCAAAGATGTATTTGCTAATTTAAAAGCTTCAGGGCGGATGAGTTTACACGTTCCAAGTCAAAAGCAGTGTTTCCGTGAATTAAAATAAACATAGACTGTTAGCTTTAGGCATACTTTAACCACCATGTTGTTTTGTTAGTCTCTAAAGTGCCACAGTACTACTCATTCTTTTTAACCACCATGTTACCTGCTGTGCTGCTGCGGCATCTATTGCTACAATGATTTTCGCTGACATTGTGAAATGCAATACAAAGAAGCATGGAGGGAACCCAGGGCTCAATTCTACTTCTCACTGACCTCAGCAGATTCAGGCCCCTAGGTTGCCACCTTTAAAGCAAATGCGCTACATCCCATTCTTACAGCTCTGGCCTGGACCTGAGTTGGGCTTTCAAAGCTTTGTTCTTTTTTCTTTTGTGTTTCTTTTTTCATGGCACTGCAGCCATTTAATACATGTGTTGAACTTTTTTAAACATGGAAAAGAAAGCCAAAATCTATCAGTTTCACAGAAAATGCTTCCTGCT